CGGGTGGTGGGCCTGGGGCAGCACCCGAGAAGTTGTACAGCTGTGGGGAGGATTGCTCGGCGGCAGCAGCAGCAGCGGAAGAGGAAGCCAGCAGGTTGAACTGAGTTGGGAGGTGTCGGGGAGGGGGAGGTGGGTCTGGGGGACCAGGGCGGTACGGAGGCGTCTGGGCCGGGCCAAGACCAGCGGGCCCCAAGACACCACTCCCCGCCAGGCGCTCAAAGCCTAGCGAGGAGGGCACCGTGGGTGCCTGCGAGGGCTTCAGGTGCAGCACGTCATGAGGGGACAGGAGCCCATTAGCTGGGGGACTGAATGGGGGGTCCTGGAGGCTGAGGGATGAGGGCACTGGGAAGGGGCGGCTGCCGAAGGAAGCCGGGTGCTGGTAGGCCGACAGGGCAGAGGAGGACGGAAAGGTGCTGGAACCCGGCAGGGCGCCTGAGATGAAGAGCTCCGTGGGGCCTGGAGTATGCATGGCTGGGGATGATGGAGGAGACCATAGGTCAGAGTGGACCACAAGCCAGCCCCACCCTGGCCCTCTTGAGTTGGCAACGGGCTTACCTGTTTGCCAGGAAGGACTGCGGAACTGGGAGAGGAGAGAGGAGGCAGAGGGGCCTGGCTGGGGGCCCCGGGACTCCAGGGCCGAGATGAGGTTCATGACGGAGGCGTCGGGCCCTGCTGAGCCCGCGTGGTGGAGGCCAGTGTCAAAGAGTCCAGAGAGGCCTGACCAGGAACAGGGGGTAGAGTCAGCTAGGTAGGGCATAGGGCAGGGTTGAAAGGGAAGAAGCCAAAGGCAAGTTTGGTCAGGGAAAGGGACTGGAGGGAAGGAAAGGGGGAGAAAGTGGGCAGAGACAAGCTAAGGAGACAGTAAGCAGGATGGGGTGCAATGCAATCATAACGGCAGGGAGTTCAGGAAGACAAAGGTAGACAAAGGAAGAGAAAAATCCAGAAGTGAAGGAAGTGAGATCAAAAGAGCAGGGAGTTGTTATGATTGGGGGCAGGGGGTGAGGCCAAAGGATTTGGGCAATTCCAGCAGGGGTAAGGGATGGGATGACTGGAGCCCTTGCGACCTACAGAACAATTCCACAGGGGTTGAGTCAAAGTGAGAGAATCCAGAAAAAGAAAGGTGGGAAGGAAAAACGGATCCAACCAGGAGGGTCAAGGATCGAACTGGACTACAGTGTCATTGCTGCTCCATCAAGGAAGGAGGGCAGTAGGATCAAAGGAAGGGGGCCAATCAGAAGCCTTGGAGGCAGAGCCACTCGGGAGAATAAGGTAGTGGCAAATCTAAGGGAAAAGGCAGCGGTCCAAAGAATCACTGCCAATCAGGAAGAATGGGAACTAGAAGGAAAGTGTTCAGAGAACCAAGGAATCAAGAGAATGGGCAAACCCAGAAGGAAGTGATTGGGTGGGCTTGAGAGGCGGAAAAGCCTGGAAGAGAAGGTGGGATTTGGGGGCTGTGGGGATGGGACCAATTGGAACAAAATAGGCGGGACTAGAGGCAGAGGCAGACGAATCCGAGGTGAAATTAAGCAGCCACAGATCAACCAATCAGAGGGAGGATAGAAAGGGGCGGGCCAGAACGCAGGGCAAGGCCAATTAGGAGGGGTGGAACTTTCACCAGCCAATCAGCTGCCTTGGAGGGAGGGCTAGTCCAGGCGGGGCGGGATGGGGGTCCGTACCTGCAGGGTGGTGGTTGGTGGCATAGCTTTGCAGTGGGTGGGGGGCCCCGTAGGCCTGGCGGTGTAAGATGTCCGTCTCGGGGTGCGAGGTCCTGGAGCTGCCATAGACCAAGCTGGGGGGAAGGGAGAGATGTTACGGTATCCTCCGAAGCTGCCCTCGGAAAAGGGAACTCAGCAAAATCCCTAGGGGAGTTGGGGGAATTCTTACAGCTGAGTGGGGAATCTTGGGCCCTAAAGCAAAGAAGATAAGGGAATCGGGGTGCCCAACTAAAAAGCCATAGAAATGGTCCCCACTCGTACCTCAGCAGCAGTACAGAGCCCTGGGTCCCAGTAAATAGAGAGCATGTAGTCTCAATATAGTCTCACGATTACAAACACAGACATGCACAAGGATGAGACAAACACAGAGAAGGTGAAGAGTCAGAGAAAGTGCCTCGAGTTGAAAACGTGGACCTCCTACCACATACAGGCCCCCACCCCGCTGGTGACACAAGACCCTAGGGCCATCCCCAGAGCTGCGCATAGATGCCCCCTCTTCTACAGACACGTGGGAACACATAAGCCCTGAACCTCACAGGGTGGTGCACAGCCAGTTGGGAGCAGGAGGCAGATTGTTCCCCAAATGGCAGGGATGTGGGATGAGGAGGGGATAGTCAAGTACCAGGTACAGGTGTGAACATGAACACCGTCCAGCTCCTGGGGCTGAGGTTCAAAGGCATAGGGCCATGCAAAGCCATGTATGTGTGCAAAGAAGTATCCAACTCACCCGTGGGGAAGAATAGATACAGAGGGGAGAAGCCCACATGGAACACACGTGCGGTCATGCCCTGCCATGCTGGGAAACCCAGGTGTGTGGGGGAGGGAGGTGGTTCGGGGCAGGTGAAGAGTGAAGGCAGGACACAAATAAACAGTAGGTAAGGGGCTGATTCGCAGGTGAGCAGATTGTCAGCTACCCAGGAACAGGGTCCACGCTCACATACACAACCATACACCCGAATCTTCCCATGCAATAATGGCCCCAATCCATGGCCCAGACGCCAGGAGGTCAAACACTCCACTCCTTCTCATCAACTAGGATTCCCTGTCTTTCGGGGTGGGGAGTTAAAGGGGGCGTGTCTCAGATACCAGGAACCCCCCCTTGCACACACGGAACCCCAGCTTAGGAAGGGGGCGGGGCCCTGTGCCCACTCTGCGCGCGGAATTTCGGGGGGTGGGGGAGCCAGAGTGGCGCGGCCTCGCGCAGTTCCGGAACAATGGGACCTGGGAAGGGGGCGCGCCCCCCAGGTCTGAGCTCTAATTCTCCTTTTCTTCCCACCTTTGCAAGAGCAAAGCCTGGGGTGCGGGGGGGAGGGGCCAGCAAGCCGGGAATCCAAGGATGGGGGGAAATCCAGGCCTTGCTTCTCCAGTCCCTCCCACCTTCCCAAGGCCTTTCCGTCCGAAATTGTTTTGCACCCCCATTTTCCCGCTGCATCTCTCCCTTTGCATGCCGGAGCTGGCTTTGGCGGAGTTTGCAATTTGCAAAGTGGGGCGGCGGCGTTGTTGCAAACCGAGGAAGGCCGCTCCCTTGCAAACCGGAGGGGAGTTTGCGATGCACGCGTCGCCCGGCGGGCCGGGCCTTACCCGGGCCGGCCAGGCTTGGCCCCTACTCCTTGGCCCCTTCTTCCAGGCCACCCTCGGCTCCTTACCTAGCTTTCGCTGACCTTTCGTAACTCCATCCCGCCCCGGCGCCGAGCGGGTCCCCGAAGCCGGCGCTGGGGTAGTTCCTGTCCATGAATTGGCCGCGGTGGAAATTGGGGGGAGG